GATAAGAGGCAAATTTGCACATTCCGTCTGCCGTTTATGTGTAGAGTTTTCAACAGGTGCTCTTCGCCAGGTGATATCTTCACTCTCCGTTCACCATATCTTTCTACTTCGATGTACAAGTGCGGAAGTCAAGAGCAAAGCTACACCGGTAATGATGTACAGGTACTGCGGGTAATGAGCCAACCATCGGCCCACGACATTCCTTCTTTCTTCTCTTCTTTTTAACGAGTTTGGTCAATGCCAAAAGACCACCTCTGGGTACTGAAAAGACTTGTCAGGGAGAGAGTTACATAATATTGCAGTCCGAAGAAGTTTTTGCTGTAGAAGGACTTGGAGACTGGTATTCGGGTAGTGTAATGATGTGTAACTTTTCGACGTAAAACTGAGTAATCTGCGAGGCAGGCTGGCCTCCTTTGTGCGGCAGTTTGTTGTTGTACCTGCACACTTGGCTGAGCAAAGGGACTGAGGACTCGGACAACCCTATCAGACTTCACGGGCGGGAAACACGAGGCTATTGTGACAGTCGGGAAAGGGATGGCCAACGTCAGATGCATGACACTCAGTCATCACTCACGCCAGGAAACCCCCCTCCCCACTCCCTATATCCCCTTCCGGCTGCGGTTGAAAGAAAGATGATGAGACAAAGATAGATCAGAACGCAAGGGAGCCGATTATCAACAGGTACATTAGCAAATTAACTGTACCTCACCATCTGTACAAACTAACCCCTGATCCGTCACACATGGATGTCACTTATTATTGTCAGAATTTCTATACCAGGATCGCTCAGGAAGACCGCTGTTTGTTTGATGAAATTGACCATGATATACACACACAAGAACAGTGGTTCAGTTGGTGCGTTTTAAGTGCAAGATTTCATTGGTATCAAAAGATCCAGAAGAATACTTTTTTAGTTCTATACAAACGAATTAGAAGACAGTAAATTCATCAGCTCAGTCTTTTCTTTTACAATAGCACAGTGTTACTACTGGTGACAAGAGGGGGTGATGATTCATAACGGTACTTATTGTTCCGATCCTCTGATCTGATGTGTGTATTATTTGCATGCTACAGAAGTTCTACAATAATGATGAAGTATCAACTGAGGGCTTTCTTGGGATAGTTGTGCACACTAGTATGTCCTACAAAATTCAGTCTTGTTACGAAAAGACTGCCTTAGGTCCTTGTTGACGGTTGGTTCTCTCACGGCCTGCTTGAAAATTCTACATCAAAATCGCACGACGACGCATGGCGAATGTGACTCCGTCAGTAAGAACACCGCGCCTCCCAAACGTTACGCACGGCAGAATCACATACAGAATACCGCGCATATATTGTTATTAGATGTCCTACTCCTATTTCGCCTCGACCTGTCTTCATTTCCCCGTCCGCCTGTTCAGGTGATCGTCCCGTGCTCAGATGTCTTCCCCACAGATTAGATTCCATCCATGCATGAAATGGAATTACAGTAATGGAACCACAATACCCACCGAGACAAAGGGCAAGTCAATAAAATCATCATCACAATCCCATCAATTATGATTGTGTTATTCTAAGAAAGAATGGATGTTTAATGGGGGTGAGATGTGATTGGATATCGATGTCGTGTTAGTGTAGAGTATCCCGTACACACCGACCACCTGAGAAACCTAATCAGATATGTCATTTATAGAGATCAAAGTCGGCCCAACCTGGTATGTGGGACCGCCGGCTTTATTTTCTTAACCCCATGTTGCGTTCACTAGATATGACATTTCATGAGAGGATGGCCGTCTGGTATAGTGATGTTTTAGATCAGTGTGGTTTCCTGAAATAACGTACACTACAAGACCAGCAGTGTTAGCTGTGTCTCTATGTTTACGTACATCAGTAACCTACCGTGACGTTCAACATTGCCAAACCCTTGCTTCGTATGTTTTGTTCAGATCATAATTATAATCGATAAAATCATTTTAAAAGATTTGTAATTCATATGTTATCCGTTATATCATACACAGGACGACAGTTCAACTTCATAACAGGTGAACTAGAATGAGAGATATGGGGTGAGGATGAAAATATTGGTGCTGATTTTTTCAGAAGCCAAGTTCGATTATTACATGCTACATTGTATTAATTTGTGAATGACAGTGAAGTAATTTTGTAACGTTTCCATTTTCAATTTAACACCACATTCAACTGACGCTTTCGTTATCCAATTTTGTGTGCTTCTGCTTCTATTGACAAGTATCTACTTCTAGTACTTACTATTACGGTGCACACGAACAAAGTTATAAACATTAGAGGAGTCTTAATTTCTGAACAGATTTTTTGTTGTTGTTGACAACTGGCTCCAATCCCCTGTCCCCGGCCATTGGAAACTGCTTCCAGTGAACGTTTAAGTGTGATATGTATCGAACTTAAGGGTAAAAACGTATAGTCTTAGGACATTCAATCTCAACTGCACAATGCCACAAACAATGGGTAAATTGGCAAAGTATGGCAGTCCAATCTAGAGGACAGAGAATACATACATACAAGCAAGCACGATAATATGTTCTAGACCAGGTGCCATTTTCCCAATCTCCAATCAGCAACAAGTGCAGGGTTCTAACGCAAAACCGGAACAACAGAAGTTTAAAAATATGGCTTTTCCTCCCAAGGCCTGGATATTAAAGAGATAGGATTACCCCTGGCACCACCACCCGACAACCTCCCAGCACACACCTCACAGGTCTGCTAGTGTCCCAACCCAGTGTCTGATTGGCGTTGTTCCGGTCCTTTGATAGACATATCGCTGACAGGAATACCCCATGTCAGTATCGGGGAGACATATCATAGCATTCAGGAAAACACTGCATGTTTAATGATCAACAAACTAGTCAACAAACATGTCCCTGGCTCGGTTTTGAAGAGTAGTTAAACTGTTGTTCTGAACTGTCTGGTCGATATGCGATCGTGGCCACAACCGCGGCATTGACACTGCTTGGATCAGTTTCCAAACCCATGTCTGCACAGGAACGTTCGATATATGAAAATAAACCACATGTCAAGTCCTATTTCTGCTTGATGTGCGGCATTTGAAGAGACACCGGATTGACAGGTAACCGAATCTTGCTGAATGATTTAGGTTTCGTTCCCTCCTGTCCCCCGCAAACTGACCAACGGAGAGACCAGACGTAAAATTGGGTGGGTGACCAGACTTTACTCTTCTCTGCTTAAAAGCTCCTTGCTGCAACGACTGTGCCGTACGTCGTAAATCTGAAAAGAAACGGGTGCAATTTTAGTTTATATAAACCTTTTCCTCTCAACGTGACCAACAACGTATACCACGATGGTAACCCGAAAAAATCATCGTAAGGCGCATCGTACATGTATGTGCGCGTGCCATGGTTGTCATAGACGGCACCACCAACACCGGTGTTACAGTGAACTCTGGGCTTGGATCTCTCACCGCTGATTGCCTAAGACAGATAACAAGGCCAAAATTTGATACCGGGAAAGTTATTTTTCGGACTGTTGTTCCTTCCACCGAGATGAGCATGCGGAGACCGAAGATGAAGGCTATCAGGACGGCCCGTTTGTTTACCTGTGGTGACGTCTCCTGTTGCAGGAAAAAACACGACCTGACCAGCCGACGGCTATAGATGTACAGACAGGGGAGAGAGGTTACCTTCTCCTCTGATAACGAGAGCTGAAAAATAGTCATGAAAAGTAGTAATATTTAGCTAAGTATGGGAATAGTCTAACAGCGGAGTTTGGCTACCATGGAATTTATTTTCCCCATGAGAGATGCTATCCTACCGCGGCTCAGTCCTCTGACCAATTACCTACCATATTTCTGCCAAAGTCTACTATCCATAACCCCTCAGGCAGGCCTGGGGAAGGGGGCTACTTATAGCGGTCTCCTGGACACATGAAACCCCGATTCGTAAAAAAAACATTGCCTGGGACAACATACACGTATATGTATCACAGCTACATGCTTAAATGTCACTTGTATTTTCCATACTACCTTGAAGACTTGGATACATACATACACCGGAACAAAAACTAAGTGAGTGAATTCTCTCCAAGCCCTACTGTGTTCTTCTTACACTCTGCGTCTTGCGTGTGACCGACAAAAACACCACTGAACCAATACAGCTCGATACCTGGACAGTACAGTTCGTATATTCTCATACAGCCCCTGTATACCAGTATCTTGCTCCCTACGCCATGTCCCTCCCCTTTCTGTTGACATAGTTCCACGCATCAGTGCTTATAACACGTACACTCCTGTTTACATGCAACTTCTTTCTGTTACCGCAGAGGCACAGCTCACAAAACAAGGCACGTGGAGTCTGTAGCCAACCAGGCCCCCTTCAAAGGCCTTTCACATGTTTACGGTCCGTCACGGCTCAATGATTACAAGGTTTGTATCAATGTAGCCGCATGTTTATATCAACACCCGATTCCCCGTCTTTCTATTTCAACCCCTACAATAAAAGGCCCGGTCTTCAAGCATCTTATATTTCCCAGCCGACAGGGGGCGCTTTTACCTGGTGGTAGGAGGACCGGACGGACACCTGCCAGTTAGTCGTAGTAGACAAGGGATATACTTTATTTCTTTCTTTATTTCTTTATTTGAATTCACCACATGCAAAAAACAAGTGGAAGGGAGGACAAAACAGGTGTATCAACGCCTTTACAAGTTGTCCTCCCAAACCTGAAATGATAATACAAAACAATACGGAACCAAGTCAAACAATAAACATTAGACATAAGACATCAAAAATCAGTAGACATGAAATATACAATTCGGTAAAAGTTATACAGAGAATTGATTATGTACAAAAATTATCAAACCTGTAATCCGGCAATTAACCATTTTTGACTGGTATAATAACACTACTGACGCACACTACACAACATACATATCAACCTGCAGAAGAACTACACGTGAAGTAAACTGAACGTATTGAACTGATGTACATGTACTTTTCCCCAAGCATACCTGGAAATATATACAATAGCGGGGGATTTCCAACAGACATAACATTAACTTAGCAGGAAGTTTTTGCGATGAAAAGAAAAAAAAAGTATCTGATCTGTTTTCCTTGTCATTAATATCCGAGGCCCAAGTTGGTCTTAGTGAAACATGCGCACGTTTTCCGTGGACGATCCCAGTTTCCACAGTGCAGACTGCTTCAGAAAAGTTTGGCTGGAGCCCAGCAAACATTATCGCTGTGTCCTCGTTCTCGGCGTCTCCTATAACGTTCTTACCATTCTATCGGTTCGTTCTTCTAACGGTGGAAATCATTACACCCCTCTCTCACAAAGCGAGTGTAATTTCAGTCCTTCACAAGTTGCGGGCTATGAATGAACATAAAAGAGCGGCGCTGTTTACACTGGCATCGTTGCAAGACCGACGTGAGTGAGCTGCTAGTCAATTCGTCGCGCGGTACTTGGTAACTTATCCCCTTTCACCCCAGTGATTCAAAGATTACAGTAAACGTATACAAACGGCCCTCTTCACGCGGTCTCACTTGCTATCGTGAGCTTCTGTAAATATTTAGATTCGAGTCGATCGGGAGATGGGGAAAAATGGGCCCGGGCAACCCGAGAAGGACAAGGTGGGTTGACTTTCTCCGGATAAACGCAACCATGGCGACCGACCCCACCCCTTTGTTTGGGACCGTCGTTGTGGTGAGAGTTTAGTGTGAACTTTTAATGGCCGAGATTACGGCAGTGATGATCATGGATAGACAGCAGTATCAGGTCAAGCGGAGCCGTTCGGAACCGATATCACTGCAGGGATTCTTACGGCCCGGCTCGCAGCCCATCCTCACGGCCAGGACGGCGACAGGACGCGACAGTGCCGTGTCTTACACCAGCATCGTGCCCGACGTCAACGTCCTGGGGACTGTCACGGAGGTGCCACAGAACAGAACTCCCTTCCGATCGAGAAGGGCTCACACTTTTGAGAGAGTTCGAGAGTCTGGCAGCCTTCCACATGTGATGGGGGAACATCGACAGAGTCCGATTCTTACCATGGGACCTCAGCTGCCGACAATAAAAATCTACCCTGCGCCTACGGTACAGAGACACGTACAGAGGCTGAGCACACAGCCTTCTGAAGACAGTGGGAAGAGTCCACTCAGTGGGTCGAAAGACGTCCCCCATCTTGCCGTCATCACTCAAAAACGAGTAGACACCCCTCCGTCACAGCCTAAAAACCGTTTGGCGGCGTGGATGTCGGCTGGGATTGACGACCCGAACACGAGAAACCGCGACAGGACGAACAGCCTCGTGCCAGACTCGGACGTTAGGATCGAGGAAATCAAGAGGCCTCCGATCGACGCACACAAACGTAACGGGGAGATACTACGGACAGGGACGGCCAGGATAGCGGCCCCAGTGTCCACTTACGTGCCCTTGAGAGAGGTCTACCTGAAGCAGAGGTCGAAATCGGGTAACCGTGAGTCCAAAGAAAAGACGCAGAGAATTATGAAGTGGTTGCAGGAATTGGGTGACTTCACCCAAATGGAAGAGCCGCCGATTGATAACAGCAGTGACACAGAGACCAAGACAAGTGACAAGTCCCTGCCGGACGTCACGTGACAACTAAGGACGCTGCTGATCTACAAGCAGCAGAGAAAATTCAGCGCGCGGTCCAAGACCACGGAGTCTGATGTGGTCATCCCGAGGGACGATAGCAACGAACAAGCGTCCTTCAGATGACTTTCACAGACGTTACTTAGCACAAATGTTCTGTGTTTCAACCGGTTTCAACGCTCTCCATCACCTTGAGGTGGAAACTAGTACGACTAGACCAGATGGCAGAGAACGACCTACACAAGGATGGTGTAAGAAGGAGATATAAGTCTGGTGAAGTCGGAGAAAATGGTGCAAAAGTAGCAACAACATTGGATGATTGGGTTCGTGGAGGTGGTTACTGTGTACTTTACCCTCCGCCATGTTGTAACAGTGAGACAACGGCAGCAAAACAACAAAGGGGCGGGTAACAGGTGTCCGGGTATCGGGTGCCCAGTCCCGTTGTTCTGCGGGAGAAAAGTTGAAAGGGCTGGACCAACACAAACGTTACGGGGTCGTGCAACTTACAGCAAATGGCGCAGCTAGAATATTGAACACTTCTTTGTTTCTTTACGTGTTTGCACTGACCATGACAAAACGTTTATTTTTAAACTGTGGATGAAACATGTTCTATACGTTCGGTATATTTAAACATGCGTTGCATACCTAAGAGTATCGAATATGTTGATGCGACTACAACAATTCTGTTGCAAACCAATGTTTTAGAACATCCGATGTTTTAAAGCACAGTCTGCTGAAGTTCAATGTCTATGACGTCAACGCACACGTGATTACACATGGCTGCTAGTGTTATATGACGTCAATGTTATATGTGTACTACTCATGACACTCTCGTCAAGCATATCAGAACAAATTAAATCATATGACTTATCTAGATACCGTCTATTCTTTTGCTGCAGCTGCTCCGTGTTTACAATGACAATGAATAACTGTAAGTTCTAACTAAAACAATAATACAACAGTGTTGTACACAGTATATCTATTGTGATGTCGTATTCACTGGTAAACTGTAAAACTGTTTCCATACATTCCACCTTCAAGTAGAGTGTTTAATCGATGCGTCGTCACCTATAAGATCCTATAAGAGCGTGGAAAAACGGCCCTTACATCTGCTTGGAGATAAGAAGAACATGACGGTTCCCAGACCTGTGTGTCAATTTTCACCCATCCGGGCTTGTGTTTTGACGGTGATATTAAAACCTTCCGCCTTCTCCTAATAACTTTATCCACAGACCGCGTTCTTGGTATCATGTTTGGTCCAGTGTGTAAGCAAACGCCCCACTTCCCACGCCTAAGGCCCCACACCTCCTCCAGACTGAGCTGACTGCTGGGTATCCAGCTTCATCGTGCATCTCTGCCGGTCGGGTGGTGGGTCCCTCCGTGTCGGTTCGCGACTTGGGCGGGCAGACCCTGCCCTGACTAATTTCCTCCGGGAGACGGCGGTTAGGCCGGTGGGTAGCCGAGGGGTTGGCAGAAATCTCATGTCTGCTGTGAATGCTGTGTCAAAGCTGTTCTTCAGACAAAAAAAGTTAGAGGCACAGCCTGAACACATAACGACTTCCAAGTATCACATTGTAAGACACGGCATAACATATTCTAACATTCACAGTACAGTTACATAGTCATAACAATGAGGTTTTATGGAACCTCCTTGGTTATAATTAGATAGCATATCGTAATTAGATGTAATAATCAGATAATACAATATGGTTTATTTGCCTTACCTCACCTTACATTAAACGCAAGGGATTTAAAATGACAGTAAAAGAAACAGTAGAAATATGAAACTTTCTCCTCAGTGTCATGGTGACAACAAGGAGCTTTCATCACAAGCTCCTTGGTGACAATGAACAAACCATTTTGAAAATCTTCACTGCTGTCATAAAATGACATTGGTGCCAAAGCCCCCACCCTTATTCAATAACTGTCTGAACTGAAGATTTTGTATCCACCGACAGACCTCATCATACTAACAGAACACGCCAGCCTCCACCAGGCCTTCCTGAGGGCTATAGATAGAAGAATTAATTCGGCCAACATAGGGTCAATAATTGGCCAAGGTAGTGAGCCAAGGTAAGGATAACATTTCCCCTTTAAGGAAACGCAAAATTCCCCTGGCAAATTATTCTCCCTTTAGCCAGCGTAGTTAGTTTGGAGGAGACCACGACTATCTCCTCCGCCGACCTGGATTCAGACACTAACAAGAACTGAGGTGTAAGATGTAAACAGGTCGCTGTTTACCCCCAGTTTGTAGACAAATTTAATCACGTTTACAGTAAATACGTAATTGCCGACTTCTGTCGAGCGGGCTCTCAATCTCACCGGCCGGTGCGTGGGTGACGAAAAAGAAGCTCGAGTTTGACGTATGAGAATGTTTAACATTCAAAACATCAGCGGAACTTCGATAGGGACTGCCTATTATAGTTTAATCTATAAATTTCTATCTGAGCCTCTTGTAAAGTAGATATCTATTATAGTGAGCTATGTCACATGAATGATGAATGAATGATCGACGGTAACTATTTTTGAAAGGACCCCTTACTTTTAGTAGTTTACGTCAAGTATATACTGATAATACTTTTCTTGCAATATTCGTGCCCATGGGCAAATTGAAAGTGAACAAGCTTAATGAATTATACACATGCATTACGTGTGTGTACTTGTGCCGAGACAGACGATAAGTATTACACTACAATAACATTGTGGGTCTATAGTACTGTTCTATATCTACGTTACTAAATACATATTGTTAGCTCCTTGCGCTAGATTATCATTTAAGCAGACATGTAGTACATTTGCTATTTATAGTGAAATATAAGATAAGAGGTCGTTTCCAGTTTACTCTATAGGCAACACAATCTGTATTTTCCGAAAACCGTTGGCTACACGAAGACAAGATACAGATAGATGAACTTCTTGCCAAATTTGTAAATTTTCCCGTCGCCTTCCTTTGTGCCGTCTACCCAGCTGACACTTCTCCGTCATCAGGAGGCGTTTGTTCGCACACCTGCTGACCTTCACAACAAACCCGCCATCTTATATCATAACTGTCAGCTTTTCTTCTCACTGTGAGGATTGTAGTTTTGGATTATGCCCCTAAGATTGGACACTTTTTATAGGACGGCACTGTAAGTGAGAAGAATTCTACTGAATGTGTGTAGAAAAAGCCCGTTGTACCGTGATGGTATACTGAGCTCCTCCCGGCTCCAGCTATCAGCCGGCTTTCAACACCGGACACCCGGCAAATGGGCCGTCCCCAGTCTCCATCATCCGCCCTGTGTTTGTTTTGCACACCGCCGAGCTGTTTTAATTAAAACTGTTAATTCCCTGAAATAATCGCCAATTACCCAGTAAACAGAGCCGGCGGGTGGGAGGACATCTCAGCCGCGGCCCGATGCAGGATCGGAGACACGTGGGTTCACCGGGTGCCGACATGCGTCACGGAAAAAGACACTTGACGTTGACGTGGGCCCGACACATAGGGGCATTACAGTTTCTGAGTGAGTGACCCACAGAAGTCCGGAATGTGGCTTGTTCCAGTTGTTAGGGCAGGAATGTCGAGTTAAGCGGTGCCTTGACTCTGAGATAACCGCTTGATCTGTACATGTTTTAGCCCTGCCGACACTGAGAACACTTTGGCCCCGCTATCTCAGGAATCATGAAAAGATATTACCAGTATTCCGTGATTCCATTTTAGGATATATTTTATTAGCCAACCTCTTTGTTTTTCAGTTATTAAGTGTGTAACTCAGTGAATTCTATTTTGTGTATAAACATATTTCCATGTCTTTCCATGTCACACCAAGTCCTGTTTAAATTTTACATTATCGTTCAATTCGCCCGAAGAAATCAACGTTACTTATAGAATGTCCATGACATATATTATACCTCGGGTGTTTCTAATGGTTCCGGGGCACGATCCCTGCAAGCCAGACAAATCTGAGTAAGTCACGCTACCTTCATATCTGATGACGTCCCAACGCTCTGGGCGGGAATCTGGGTCCCGTTTTTCCACCGCTAAGCCTGAGAAAACAAATAAAGTCTAAACTCTGCCAGCAACTCCAGCTTCCGAATAGGAACTTTTGGCTTGAACTTCATTAAAGCAACGACCTTTAAATTTTTCTCTCGTGTTTTAATACTGTGATGATATCATAGTCATTAACACATTGTGTCATACCATTATACAAGTGAGAATCGTATACTTACTATATTAATTGGCGACGATATAGTATAATAAGACAATTCAAAGCTATCAAGCCGTTATGTAATACTCGTATTTGATATTACTAGTTTCACGTTCATTGAGAAGAAAGGCGTTAACCTTTAAATTTAATCTTGGAACGAATCAAAACAAACATTACGCTAAGTGCTGTACATGAACAATAGGAAACAAACAAAGCGCCTCAGTATTGCTGTTTGGAAACTGACAAAATGATGGGCGGGCGCAGAAACTGATATGTGTCAAAGCTGACATCCAGGACAGAAAATTTCGGCCCATCGTCCCTTGTAGTTGGCGGACCGAAATTTCCTCCTATAAGGAGCGGTCACAGTCGTCGTACGTCGTCGTAGGATGTTGATGCCGCAAAATTTTCAACGAGGTCGTCACAGAACCAACCACCAAGGTCAAGGATGAAAGACTGCCTTTAACAAGGCAGTTGAATTTTCCAGAACACATGCCCTCAATTTTATGATAGTACGATGCAGGCAAGGTCCTTATGTATATGCTAGTAGTCTTCTCTATGAAGATCCCCCAAGGTTCGCTGAGGTTCGCCCGTACGGAAATCATCTTCTAACGTCCTGTGGTCCATCATCACAACAAGACCAGCAGCGTATCTCATCACGGGTCTAATAGGTTAAGAGGGCCGGGACAGGGAACGAGGGGGGTTAACTCTCACCCTGTGGGATCGGCAGGGGAAATGCCTGGACTAAATGTTGGGTCAGTGTTATGCACGGAACATGTGAATGAAGAAGTCCAGGCGTGGAGGGTTCTGTGAGGGAAACGTGAGCTCCGCCTAGGAGGACTGGAGTTGGTCATTCAGCCTGTATTGTTCAGGGCAGACGTCACGGTTAGTTTGGGTATACATGCACGTGCTGACTACAGCTGCTGTTGGCGATTGTCTTCTCTTTAATTGCCTGTCACTGAGGAAGGGTTACTGAACACTTGTTTCTTGGAAGGCAGCTCTTTTGGAAATACTGTATGGCATCTACCTTTATAATCTTAGATTACAGGAGCTTTAGAAGTCAGAATAGATGTAATCACTGTAATGTCAAAACTGATAAGGAGAGACACTGAAGGTATTGCAAAAATCAATCAGAAATGGTTGCAGTGGTACAAAAATTCTGCGCACTGTCAGATAACCACCCTATTGACTTGACTTGACTTGACTACTGTATTGCACAGTAGATTTAGCGATCTGGTTCAGTGTTTGGACTCTGTCTGTGCTTGCCACCTTGTACCCAAACTCAGGTGGCCTGAGTGCCCCTCCCATGTACACCGCCGTGTTCCTGTACACCATGCCTGAAGGTTTGAAGCAGCTGGCTGAACAGTGGAACTCCCTGAGTCCTGTGTCCTTCAGGATTCTGGGCAGGTTCCTCTCATTGATGCCTCCTCCTGCAAACAACACAAGTGCATGTGGCATGTTACCTTTACTACTCTAATGTAATCCCACCATGTTACATATATCCAACACCCTGAAAATAGGTCCAAAGATATTATAATGCACTCCTGCATATCTAAACTGTGCATACCTGAGGTTGCTGCACTAGAGATCTCTCAAACAATGCCTCTTTTCCTTTTAACATATATGCCAGCTTTAAGAGGTACAGTTTTTACCTTAAGCTTTGACTCCAATGGTTATAATATAATAGAATAGGACAATACACAGATGTGCTCACCAGACAGACCCATGTGATTTTGCTTCAGATAAATCTTGAATCAACTCTTGCTTACCTGGCACTATGATGATTCTTCCTCTGGACTGAGAACAAAAGACAACACAGTATTAAAAACCTGTCCAGTTCCTGAGATCTATATCACTAACTATGTGTACCAATGCTGTCTTTCAACCACGTCAGTCAAGCTAGAGATAACACATTTATACAATCAGCCTCTGTTATATGTAGAACTATACAGATATGTAAATGTGTAGACAAGTATCCAAGTTACATTCAATTTGCTAGCATCCGTAATACATGTCGAGAGAGAACACCTTTTGTGACAAGTCTTGGAAATACAGCCAGGCTGGCAAGCCAATGAAAGCATTTAGCTATAGCAGTGGGATTTTCCAACATGGCCCAAAATAACATCACAACACTTACTCTACCATTCCCTTTATACATTGTGCGTGACTCTCAAAAAATGTCCCTTTAAAGGTCAGGCCAACATTGCTTTGATTCCGGGCATTTCCCAGTCGTCACAAAGCAAACTTCACACAATCACATTTCACACAAATCTCTACCACAATGACCATTAGCAGCCTGCCAATTTTGATCGCAAAAAATAAGCAACAACTTCTCATTGTAACTAAAGAGGTAATTGTTATCGCAGAAAGTCCAGGGAGTTCTTCGTTGCCAGGTTATCCCTGGGAAGAATGTACCACTGACAGACACACCGACCTCGTGAGATAAACCCACATCCTGGCCATCCAAGCCATCTGTCCAATTAAAATGCTGATGACATATTTTGTGTATGGTAAAGGTTAGATAACCACAGAAACTTGCAAGATAAACAGAAATAGAGAAACAAGTTGAAACCCTTCAGTTTAGGGAGAGGCAAACTGAGAAGTTGACATGCAGGAAGGACAGAGGTGCTGATAACCTGCTGTCAGTCTCTCCCCAGAGGCACGGCTAATTTCTAGTGTTTCAGTTTACGGTTCATCAAGGAATATTTTCAAAAATAACAGAAACAGGTCCCTGTGTTTCATGAGGGCAGGGTGAAGAAATATAATCTATTTGTGAAAAAACAGTGTGACAAGTCCGAAAAGTAAATATGACAATCAAAGGCACTTTTCCTGACACATAAAAGGCACAGTTGCAATGTCTAGTCCATGTCTATGTCCAACTGAACACATCTACCTTGCTGTACATTCATCTAAACACATTTATCTCGAACTGAAGACTCTACATTCAACATAAGAAGTACAGAGAATGACTTGCTATAGAGACTTATCAAAAAGTTGATTCAAGATTTAGTCCAATTAAGCAGACTAGAAACAGGTACAAAACTCCCTTTGTTTAGAAACACACATCCTGTTCTGCACACTGTGTTTTTGGCTGTTATATCAGAAACCAATCTCTCTGCCCAGGGGCACAGCAACAAGAATTATCAGCCAAGCACAACTACAACCTGATATCCACCAGGTGCCTTCTTTAATTATGATTGGCATCTTACACCCAGCAACAAATTCCTCTGGAAACTCAATGTCAGTATGAGTAACATTTGTAGGTGGACTTTAGTAAATATACCACCTGATGTACTACTCAACATCCTTATGGAATCCATACCTAATAGACATATGAATCTGCACTAAACCACACTCCATAATAATAAGATATGTATACAATAATAATCACATACATTTGTATGTTGTAAGAATCTCAATTACAACAAAAAGGACAACTTGATGAATAGACATCACTGGGACCTGTCATCTGTATGATCAACGACGTTCAGGTCAGAGGTGGGTACCAGGAGCTGGAGGTGAGGGTTTTGTTACCGTTAGTCATTAATTACTGCAGACTGAAGCCTCCTTATGATACATGCCATACTGCAGCTCAGGTTGGACAGTTTGTGTTTTGGGTAAATACAAGAACCTGTGCCACCACACACTGATCCTACTGCCTAAGGACACATTACTTGGACCTAGGATACTGTACAGTTCTCTTCTTGCTTGAGGCTTATCAATTATCATTTCATGAAATAAGAATATAGTTTTTAGAATGTATCATTTCATATATTCCCTATAACGAACCAAACAGTCAGACCTGCCCAAAGAGTTTCTGTTAGTGTATGTATCAGACCTTACCTAAAGCTGTGTATGAAAAAAATCTAGGTTTGGATTACAGGCTCAGACCTGTACCTGTACCTTAAGGAAAATGGCCAATACTTGTCGCCTTACTGCTACCTTGTTGCAGGTAGCCATCTGTCCTGTTTAATATTAAATTGTTTGCTTTGTTTGCGGGTTACATATTTCAATCTAAAAAGACAAGAGTACCTACAGGTTTTCTAGATTGTCAAGTGCAAAATGGTCAAAATTGTCACCTATGAGATGCAACTTATCTATGTTTAGGTATCCACTATTTTTTTTTCATTCAGGTACAGGCTAGGGACAACAGATGTTTAGGTCTGGTCCTGTACCCAGATAGACAGGTATTTGGTACACAGTCAGAACCTCTTCTTCTTCTTCTCTTCTTCTTTCCCGTACGTGCACAACCTCAATAAGTTGAGGGCTCCGGCACGGTGAGGGGTAGGGGTTTTTGGTTTGGATTTGGGGTGTCGCTCTTATTTTGTATTGTGTATATGTGTATATATATGTTGTTGTAGTCTGTTGGCTACAGACTACAAGCTCCTCAGTGGGCAGGGGCGCCACTCCCTGTCCGCCAGCTGGGTTACCTGTTTCTTGAGTTTTTTAAGGGTGGGAAGACCCTCCAAAACAGTGGAGTCACACCCACTGGTCAGAAGTCTCTCACATCCCAGCGAGATCACATCCTCCAGGGCCTGCTGAGGATCCGCAACCATGTCAAATGCTGCAAGGGCAGGAAAGTGGTCTTGTAGTTATGGGTGTTGACTTGGAATCTCAAGATATTCAAGGTTCAAACCTCTGGCAGGCCCCAATATGTTGTGCCCCCTGGAAAGGCACTTTACACCTATTTCTTCACTTGTGAAAATGAGTAAATACTTTGGTTAAGGTCGCCCACTAATTGTGGTAAAACTTTGTAACGCAAGAAACTACCGATACCAATCCTAAAGATTATAAACTGTGACCAACCTCTGTGGAAAGTAACTGGTAAAGGCCTTGCTAAACCTGTAAGGGAATACAAAAGAATGTGAAAATTGCATTTGGAACAATAATTTAGAGATCAACATTGAACTTAGATATAAACATTGATTAAAAGCATCCATGTGATGTTGTGTTAAGTGATAAAACCTACCAATTAACTGTGCACAGAAATCCTTGTCAATTCTGCCATTCCTGCAAATGAACATAAAACATATTTAGTACATGTATAGTGTAGCGTTCAAAAGAATTCTTAGACTAAAACTTTCAATCATTAAGTAAGTAACAAAGTATATCCAGGTCAACCATATCTACTTATACTACATGAAAATGTACAATAAGAAATCAGTGCACCAAATATCTCACTACATATGATACAGTATCAGGAAATGCATTTGCTAAGATACTTTCTCATGACTTTTGCCATCTTGTATTCCTGTTTGATTTTCACTTCAAAGTGGCAAGAATCAAATATTGGTGTGGATTCAGCAACTTTGTTTGTTGCACTGTTTTGTTTCATATTTGCTCCAATAACAGCAAATAACATGTGTGTACCCACTCTGTAAGAGCACCCAACACTATCCCATCAGCGCCATGTTCCTTGGCCAGACAGAGGTCGACCATCATGACCTCCCGTTCCACGCTGCTGTACAGGAAGTCACCGCCGCGTGGCCGAATCATCACGAACACAGGGATCCTCACTTTCTGTTTCACTACCTTCAGCATTCCTGCCAACGAGTGAGAAATGTTGGTGATGGTTAAGTGTTCCACAACTCACTTTGTGGATAATAACGATGTTTGTTTTCTGCAGTTCATAGACTAAGTGCTAGAGGAAGACAATCAGCAAACAGATACATGTAGGTCTGGTGTTCCTTTTCAATTGATAAAATGTGAGTTCGCAAGAGCAAAATGCAATGGGGTATGTACACAGCCTCTTTGGTCTCTACAACTCACTGTCATGGTGGATTCACACTTAGATTATATTTCCTGCAGTTCATACACTAATTGCTAGAGGGGGGAAATGACTGACCTAAACTTGGAGTGGTCCCTCCTTCCATCAAGTTTCCACACAACTCCAGTCTGGATGCACCTTTACCGAAGCAAGGAGGTACTCCATGGGTAAGAAAGTCATTTAAGAACATCTGGAGTCAGATCCAGGAATTTCTAAAAGGGTTCAGTGCAAGGTCAACAGAAGCATGTTGTTGATCTAAATTCACTGCCACAAGAAGCACATGTACAGACCAGAGTGACAAGGATAAAAAGTAGTCTGACAAAGATTGAATGAATTAAGAACAATGTACAATCTGAAGGATCCTGCTCACCTCCCTGCTCTGCATTGATAGCTGACTCCACAGAGTCCACACAAACCTCCATGTTGTAGACACCTGCAGGCACAGTTCTGCACACCTGGGGAGGGGGGGGGTATTCAGGTTAATGCCATTAAATGCCATTAAATACAAAAAGACAATGTGACACTTGGGCCACACCAATTTGATTTCTTGGTTCTCGAATTTTTTTCAGAAAAAATATTAAGCCACAGGGCAAAAAAAAAATAAAAATAGACCTAGGCATCCTATGATAGCCCCAAATGCTATGATAGGAGCTATGAAGTGAACATACCGGGCTGGGTTGTAATTCATAGCCTCTACCAGGCTTGAGGGCATGGCTGGAAATAGTAGAAATTTATAGGAGAAGGGACTCCTTTCAACCGTTGGGGCCAAAATATGAGCATTTGGAGTTGATTCTGAGGCTGAAATGTTGTTTTTTTTTGCTACCTGATGTGTAATTTGACACAACTTACATAGTTTGGTCTGAGTTCAGGGGAGGTCTTTATTCTTGCTGCCTTAATTTGGCACTCAGGGCAAGCATCGACCTGTAACACAAGAACATCATACATTATACACATGTATGCATTGTCTCATCCCATTCATCCCTTAATAATTATTTGAAAAATATGCCATTGGTGTACTACAAAACTTGTGTCAAACAGTTTCCTCCACTCTTCTCAGTTTTCTGTATTTAATGTTTCACTTGGTGTTGTGTCTGTCCATTTTCTGATATCATCCTCCCATCATTTCTTCTTTCTTCCTCCCTGAAGTGTTGCTTGCATGATAGTTTTTGCTAATGTCCCAATGACAACGACACATCATCACATTCTGAAAATAGGCAGCCATAAATATTGTAGAGGGTGCGGGGGAATCCCCCCCCCCAAAAAAAAAATTTTCATAACTCTCTGGATCTGAAATACTATTTCCTGCATTTTGACACACTGATTATATAATAAAATGTATGTTTTATAAGTTACAATAAAGGGTACAAGTTAATTGTCAAAAAAGGATACATATCATGTACCTATAATATAGAGATACAAAACATACCTGGTTCCCCACACAGACTACCTACATGTACTCACCCAGTGTTTCACATCCTCTGTGATGGTGCGCCAGTAGAAGCGTTCTACCACGTATGCTTGAGTCCGCTTTACACCCAAATGGCTTCCATTGGTGCCAGAACAGTGGGCATTACCCAGGACTTGCTCAACCTACAAAAATCACCCAAAAAATAATTTACCCTTTGTTTCAAATTAGATTGCCTGGGATTAAAAGTAGAAAATAGTTATGTCACAATTAACCTTACCTCTTCTCTGGTGAATAGAACTTTAGCCCTCTTTTGCTCCTTCCCCTTGTAATACAAAGTGTCACCTGTAAGACACACATTACAATAATTTACATACACACTGAGTGTTCATTTCAGCACAGTGTAGCATAACTACCCATTACATTTACAGTCCCATTTCTTATCTCAACTTCTTGTTTGGGAACTTAGACTTACTGTCCTAAGCAAACATTTTCTTAGTTGGTGTTGTCAACATACAGTATTGATGTTTAGATACAGTGTATATATTTGTACACTATTCTTTGTAATGTAACCTTAACCTGTTTTGCAGAAACATATACTATTAAATAAAGGTATTAATCTATTCACTAATTTTATTCACTAATTTTATGTCAAAACCACACTTACCTTCATAGAAAAACTTTTGGGCATACATATAAAGGGTGTGCCTCCTTGCCTTCTTTGTCATTTTGTCTAATGTATCAAAGTGTGGGGGGTAACTGCCATTTTGCAGGTAGTAGAGCACCTCTTCGACTGATGCCTAAATGCAAAATACATATAAAATATGTTTTGTGTACATTTCGCACTTCTTTCAAATACACATGTATCAGCTGTTGCAAACTCACTAACAGTTTGCATGTTGAACTATAGCCTGGACAGTAGACAGCGATGAAGTAATCAACAAGTTTATAAATTATTTTATATATAGGACACACCGATCCTGACAGTAGTACGTAATAATAGACCCACGTGAAGGTTTGGAATACACTGTACAACTTTGCCATAATTTGATTGTCTATAATATAAATACTAGTAAAATAAATACGACATATACTAGCATGACAGTTCCTCACGTACTCGTACCTTCTGTTGTTGCTGTTGTCCTGGTTTGACGTCTACTGTTGTGCTAGACGTGGCCTCTGGATGCTGGGTTTTCACCTTCTTGTAGGGACTTACTTGTTGTTGTTGTTCTTGTATAACATTTATCATCTCGCTAGAAATGGTCTGCAGATCATGTGCTTCCATCTTGTAATCAGCTGATGGCCTAAATGCAAAATGCATATTATAATATGTTTGATTTGTACACATATCTTTCAAATACAAACTATGTACTAGTATCAGGTGTTAATTATAGTGATACCACCATTCATCATCTAAACAGTAAACAGAAATATCAACAAGTTTATAATTTCATTTTGAACACACACCAATCTTGTGTTATCATGAACCCACGTTAAGGGTACAATACAACTTTGCCATAATTTTGATAGAGACTCAGTTTCTTAATTGACATGACCAAGGAGGTTTTAACCGCCTTTACATGACACATAAATTTGTACCTTGGTGTCCTGGTTCGCTAGTAGCCGTGAACAAGTCAAGTCAAGCCAAAGCCTTTATTTTTCTTCGAAATGCTTGTTCGGCGCAAGGCCGCTTTTCAACAAGGTCGAAGTTGAGGGGAGGGGTCACGGATAAGAACCAAATCCATACAAACATAAATAATAAGTAATTAAATCAATACAATAAGTAAATGAATAAGTTCACGAATAAATCATTAGGTTCGTAGCCAATTTAAGTCCATGGTGAGTCCCAGTTATGTCTGTTCCATAAGTGACTTGAAGGTATGGATGGATGGTGCTGCCCTAATGTGGGGCTGGATGTTATTCCATACCACTGAGCCGGAGTAAGCCAAGCTTCTTCTGTAAGCTTCCAAGTGCGGCCTCGGAGGGATGAGACAGTCAGTAGAAGCTGATCTGGTATTCCGTGCCACTTCATCCCTTCTCAGGCTGAAGACTCGTCTCATGTATGGTGGTAGTGCATTTCTCAAGGCCTTATACACCAGCAGAGCTTTTTGCTGTTGATGTATAGTCTTCACAGTCTTCCAACCAAGGCGCGATAGGATTTCTACTGATGGTGTTCTATATGGAGCTTTCAGAATAAGTTTTCCCACCCGGTTTTGGATTCTTTGCAGCTTGTCGTACTGCACCAAAATCGCTCCATCCCATACTGTGCATGCATAAGTTAAGTGTGGTAAGAAAATTGAATTGTATAAAGTGACAAGAGCAGCCTGATTTACGAATGGTTGGACCTGGCGCATAATTTACTGCAAGTGTTCGTTTCAATTTTGATAAGACATGATCAATGTGATAGTTCCATTTCAATTCACTGTCCACAATTATGCCGAGGTACATGAAAGAATTTACCACTTCCAAAAAACTTCCACTCATATACAACTGCAACTGGTCCTTTCCTTCCAGTCGCTTCCCAGTCCAGTCGTCCAGGGACTATCATGTAAAATAAATGTCCCGGCATTATCATGCAAAAAGGGTACCAGAGTCGTCCACGGCTAGTTCGCTAGTAACGTTACGTGGTGCTGAATTTTTACCTTCTTCTGGGCCTTCTAGGGACTCACTCGTTCTTGTACTTGTTCGTCTGTCATCTCTTCTTCTTCTTCAGTTTAGGCCCACATTCGTGATGACGAATATTCTGGCCTTATAATCTCGCTAGGCGTGGTTTCTAGATCCTTGGATTCACTTCGTTCAGCTCCTGAAATTTGCTCCCATGTTGTCATCAGCTGAAACTGCGAACGTAAGACGCCATGTGATTGGTCAGCTGTCTCCGAACTCCAACCAACCAGAGAAATGGATAGAAAGTTAGATTTGCGCACTTTTTTGAGGGGGGACATAACAAATTTCCAATCGTATTTATATGCATCAAACTGCAAAATATCTTGCAAATGTTTGCCATAATTCTACCAAATACATTTAGTCGTATTGTTTTAATGTATGATATACCTATTTCATTGTTGAATGTCACCACATAAGAACGATTAATTAATTCTAAACCTCCCCCTATATGTGAAGTCGTTTAGTCTTATTTTAGGGTTAGAGGTCATGCGTTTGGTAACATGCTAGTGTGAAATTTTCGCACTCCTGAGGTGAAAATATCGCACCAACATGCTTTCAAGGTTAACAGCAGGCGGTGTAGAATTTGGCAGGAGCTGCTTTCGTCTCTGTGTGTCGCCAGGCGCGTCTACGAGGCATCTACAGCAAATTTCAGTAAGATATAGCATTTTGAAAATTCATGTTGCGTAACTTCACACTTGCACAACTATAAGTATAACCAAGGACATTATACACTGTGTATAATGTCCTTGGTATAACGTTGCCATGTGTTTGACAGCCTTGGTGACTCTTGGAGGACATTTTGCTGGTAGCCTGATGTATAAATAGCCCTCACAGGATAATATTCTAACCCTAACCCTACCCCAAGTAACCCTTAGAGGATCCTTTTGAGGGCTATATATGTAACATTAAATAATATAAGGCTACCAGATAAATACGCCCTCCAAGAGTCGCATCTGCTACCATATTATAAAGATGCAATATAACATTAATATCCTTAGGTGCTGCACTATAAGTAGGTTTTTCAAAGCAATATCATTGCAATGGCCAATTGCAATGATATTACTTTTGAAAATAGTCTGTTTTGACAACAGGGTACAGTATATACCAGAAGTAGTAGTTAGTACTGAGTATTTTGACTATGTCGAATGTTCACAAAATGCATTCTTACCCATTTCTTTTGTGCGTAGAATTGAAGGAAGAAACAGATTGTCATAAAATGTTGTCATCTCCTCATCATATGTTGGAGTTTAGTGTCACATAATGTGATTTTCCCTACCAACAGAAGTTGTCATGTGGCGGCAGAGGAGTGGGCGTGACCCTGCACACAGGAGCTGCACTTCTCTCTGCACCAGTAAGATGTAGAGGATGGAAGTCTCCAACACTGGTACAACTAGCTGTGCCCAAACAGGTCAGTGAAACAGAAAAAGAGAGAGAAACAGAAAAAGAGAGAGAAACAAAAAAAGAGAGTTGAGGAAAAACTATCCCCTGGCTGATACATGTAATGTCATTTTACAGCTGGTTATATGATAAATGTGAACTAAAACTTGGACCCTCAAAATACTGTACCATGGACACTGGTCAAAGGCGGGGAAGAGCAGATCCTATGTAACCGTTCTCTTCCACAGAATGGTGGCAGACTTGCACAGCTCAGGCAAACCACCACATCAGCTGGTGTAGCTGCTCCTGTGCCACAACAGATTCCTGCTCGTGCTGAGAAGATTGTTGGGTCATGGCTGCTGGTTTCTGCAGGCATGGTGTTTGGAGCTGTGGCCATCGGAGGGCTCACAAGGTATGCCATGGTCAATAACTCTGCAGTTCAAACTTGACTTACCTACGTGTGAATGCACATGTATGTTTACCTCTGTGTATGGAGGTATCATTGTGTGTGTGTGTGTGTGTGTGTGTGTGTGTGTGTGTGTGTGTGTGTGTGTGTGTGTGTGTGTGTGTGTCATAACAAGCTCTCAGCCTGCAACAATGTACATTAATTTTGTATGTCAGACCATCTCTTTGCTAAATGTGGTAATAAATTTGCAAAACTCCTATTTCTTGTTACCCCGGTATTGTTTGCAATGAAGTATTGAATTTTTTTAAATTTGCTTTTCTGTATCAGGTTGACAGAGTCAGGCCTGTCTATGGTAGACTGGCACCTAATCAAGGGGATGAAGCCACCGCGGACTCAGCAGGAATGGGAAGACTATTTCAAGATGTACAAGGAGACGCCACAGTGGAAGTAGTAAGTGTCTTGTATTCTTTTAGAGCCTTTAGAACCTTTTGACTACCATCACATTTTGACTTACATATATTTTCCTCCCTCTTCTGGAAGACTCAGCCAGGCTTTGATTATACTGCTGTGGGGGTCCCTGACACAGGGGTAGGCAGCAGTTGGTTAGACTTCACACCACACCTCCAAGTGGCTCTGTCCAGCAGGTCTACACCAATGAGGCCACATTATCTATTGTCCTTCCTGACACAATCCAAGGTCTTTCTAGGTCTACCCTGACCCCTACTGCCTGGCAGCTCCAGTTCAGTGATGAAGTTAGTGCAGTAACGTTTAATGTGCCTATATCACCATGTACCAGTACTTGCAGCTACTAAAAGAACCAGATATAATGTGACTGGGAATTTGATATCCATATAAATATAAAAGCAGCCAGCCTTCTGCTATTCAAAGCCATATCAACAAAATTGATGTTTTTCAACCAACTCTTGATATGTCCTACCCAGTCAGAATCGTGAGATGACCATACAGGAGTTCAAGTTCATCTTCTACATGGAGTGGTTCCACCGCATGTGGGGCAGGACCATCGGGCTGGCGTTCTTCCTCCCAGCTGCTTACTTCTGGAGGAAGGGGTGGATCTCTAAAGCCATGAAACCTCGGCTGGCAGCATATGGCTCCCTGCTGGTGTTTCAGGTTAGTCTCCATCCAAACATGTGCATTGCCTATAATGTTGATGTGAAGATGTGCCTTATATACCATATGTGGCATAGACTGTTATTCTCAAAATGACATACAGGACTGTTTAGCCATAGGTAATGCAAATCAGGATTGAGGGTTACACTACATGTATATTTTGTTGAAATGTCCCTCAGGGTCTGCTTGGTTGGTTCATGGTGAAGAGTGGGTTGGAGGAACCAGGAGATGACATCCCCAGGGTGAGTCAGTACAGACTGGCTGCACACCTGGGCTCAGCCTTCCTGCTGTACGTGGGCCTGCTGTGGACAGGGCTGCTGCATGTACTGCCTAGACAGAAGGTCAGGGAACATGTTTGTTTGTTTATTTGTTTGTTTTTTTGATACTACAGGATGTCCTTAACTAAAGCTAGGTGCCCATTTTCACCTGTTTGATTAAGTGACTTTCCCAAGAGCACAGCATTAGAGTCTATTAAAATCCTGCAAAAGTAAATGAATTCAGAGTACATGTATATTAAGACTCAGATAATATCTGACAGTGCTGCTTTACATTCAGTATGTACCATTGTTAAGAGGGTTCTTCATTCACCTAAGAAGACAAGAATCTCATGATCTTGTAATTTCTGTGTATGTTTTTGTAGTTTGAGATGACGACTCAGATGAGGCAGCTGAGCAAGTACGCACATGGAACCATGTCTCTGGTCTTCTTCACTGCACTGTCAGGTACATCAGGAAACAAGCATGTACTGTAGCTGTTACCTCACTCTGGCAAATAAATGCTATACATGTACCTATAGTGCATCGATTGGACTTGCAGATGGTTGCATCAAAATTTAAAAAATAGTTATGTAAGATTACTTACCCGGTATGCCATATTGTTGTGTCAATAAAGTTCTGTATGTTATGGAGGTCAGTGTGCTTGGTAGCTTTAGCTGTCTGACATGAAATTCACATGTGTGCCAAGAACAGGCTGTACAATGTACCATGTGTTTTTATCTGCTAAGGTGCCTTTGTAGCTGGGCTGGATGCCGGGCTGGTTTACAACTCCTTTCCAAAGTTTGGAGACAGATGGATTCCTGATGACCTCTTCAACTTTGACCCCAAGTGGAAGAACATGTTTGAGAACCACACCACTGTGCAGTTCAACCATAGAATATTGGTGAGTCCCTTGATCAGCAACTTTTCAATGACTGTCTGTCATCTACATCAGTCATATTTCCGTAAATAATTTCATCAGGTTGGAAGATACTTAGGGTATAGGATTTTCTTCTAACACAACCAGTAAGGTTCAGAACTGCAGAACTCCAGTCAGAAGCTCTGAGGAAGGTGTCTGATAGACATCGAAACGTAAGCAGGTGAGAACCTTACTGGTTGTGTTAGAAGAAAATCCTATACCCTACATCAGTCATAGTTACCCTGATGAAGATTACAGACATCATGAAAACATCGGCTCTTGTTAAACAAGTGGTTGTGAATAAAGAACTTTGTTATTCAATAATTCACCAACCTGGTGGAATTCGTGGATTGTTGAAAGCTTCTCATGGGCACATTTATCTATACAGGCATTGTGGTGAATGTATTTTGCTTTCAACAAATGTTGTTTTTTAAAACCTGGTATCCTGAAAACCTACAGGGTACCACCACAGCTGTAGCTATCCTGAGTTTGTGGGTGTGGTCCCGACGACTGCGGCTTGCTCCCCGTGCCAGCCTGGCACTCAGCTGTCTGGCAGGCATGTCTGTTGTCCAGGTAAGTGGAAAATTTAAAGCTCCAAGAAAAAAAGTTTAAACTCAACTGTGTGATTGGTATCTTTTCTTTTTGATAGCAGAGACAGATTGATTTCTTCTTGAGGTTGTATTTCTCTTTATCAGTGCTTTGTTGTTTTTTTCTGCACAGATCTCCCTGGGGATTGGGACCCTTCTCCTGTACGTGCCCACGTGGCTGGCCTCCACTCACCAGATGGGCTCACTCACTCTGCTGTCCTTCGCTGTGTGGCTGGCAACAGAACTCAAGAAACTTCCCAAGTAAAAAACATAAGCTTTTCCCACTGAAGGAATGTCTATCGTAACTAGCATGAAAACTCCTTGCCAAATTTATACTGTAAATTATGAAACTTTTGCACTTATTTTATTTCGTGCTGACCTATCCACCGCAAATTCAGGACACCTCAAATATGTCTTCCTTGTATGTTTACTGTATCATAGAATTGTTTCAACCACAAATGAAAACCTCCTTCTCCTGCAAATTAAAACATCACCAAAGTTTTATGATTTACAGTAGAATTTGACAAACTATTTCATGATGTCATACTATTTGTAGGCATTGATTGCCACATTCATGCTATATGCTGACTTAGTTTATCAGAATCTTCATTGGTGAT